CCAACTGAGCTAACAACCCCAATAGATAAGTACATCAGAGAGTGAAAGGAATAGAAGGATGTGCAGATAGAGGTAGATGTTGTGCAGTGGGAGAAGATTTGTGTGATGTATTAAAGTACAAGCTACTTTGGAAAAAGCAGCTGTTTTTGTGCTGGCATGCTGTTCAATTGTTCAAGTTGATCTCTATGTACAGAGTTTATTGGTTTTGTTGTTTTGCATGCTGCTATGGTCAATATCTGCCTCTTACATCTGAAGTTATATTTCTGCCTGTTCGTAGGTTTGGAAATAACTTGTATCGGACATCTTCATAAAACCGCAGTTGAATTGGGTGATACATTTTGGCAATTCCTGTTTTCTGCCTTGGCAGGAATTGTATGGGAAGATGACTTCTGTATCCACTGTTAGATCAATTTGGTTCTCTTGGTAGTGTATTATCTGGAATGCTGCTGTCTAAAGTAATTTGGATACTTTGTGTTGGCATGATCTGCTAGTTTAGATTAGTCCTTCAAGTTGCTTTCAGTTTCTGCAGTGTTGTTTAATTGCAATTTGTTGTATTAATGAGGTAGAAGTTTAGATTACTTGCTATAAAAGTTTTTTTTCCCCTCACTGCTACTTTCTCCAATTGCTTCTTGAAGTGCTATATTGAATTATGATTCCATGGATCTGAGGTGATTTGCTCAAGTTGCCAGTTTCATCCATGATTGAATGTTGACGAGCTATTTGATTTGTATACGTATCATAGCTTGCCTTTACAGGACATCTAAATGTAGGGCTTTTCTGCTTACGATTCTCTCAATATCTTGTGATCCTATCTGATTTCTTTTCTATTGTCCTCTGGAGAGCCATTAAGGCGAATTATAGGATACTAATTGATGCCTTAACTGTGATCATAATGTGGAGGTGCTGGTGTTGGACTGGGGTGGGCAAAGAAATCACATGACACCAGGTTATAGTCCAACAGGTTTATTTGAAATCACAAGCTTTTGGAGTGCAGCTCCTTCGTCATGTGCAGTGAGCGAGAACAGCACACAGAACACAGAGTTTATAGGCAGAGAGATCAAAAGATCATACAATTGGTGTGAGTGGAGTGTCAGATAATGAGTCTCTGCAGGTGACCAAGAGTGGTAAATGGTGAGTAAAGTGTCAACAGCTGAATAACCAGCAAAGGGATGACCAATAATCTGTTTAAATGAAGCAGAGAGATAATTACAGAAAATTAAAAATAAAGTGGTGCTGGAGACAAGCTAAATGACAGGAATAACATGACAGGTATAAGAATGAAGCTGCATGCTGAGGATCTAACCAAAGTAATAAGTAATTCAAAACTGTACAAAATAATTAAGGTAGAAAGATCATAACAATTTATCAAGGTGATGATGTCAAAACAGGACAGTAAGGAAGATTTTACAGATACAAAAGAGTGTAGAGGGGTCACATTTAGTGAGACATGAACCCAAGATCATGGTTGAGGCTGTCTTCATGGGTACAGAACTTGGCTATCAGTCTCAGCTCAGCAATTCTGCATTGTCATGTATCTCGAAGTCCGCCTTGGAGGATGCTAACCCGAAGATCTGAGGCTGAATGTCCTTGACCGCTGAAGTATATCTCGACTGGGAGAAAACTTTCCTGTTTGGTGATTGTTGTGTGGTGTCCATTCATCTGTTGTCATAGCGTCTGTGTGCTCTTGCCAATATACCATGCCTCGAGGCATCTCTCCCTGCAACGTATGAGATGGACAACATACCTATCATGTTATTTCCAGGAATAAAATGCATTATGAATCTGAGTAACATTGTATTCAAGATAGTGCTGGAAAAGAGCAGGTTGTAACAAAGACAACTTTTGGTATAAATGATTTACATAAGCAAGTTCAAAAGTTCTCACATATTGAATATGCACCAAAATCTAGGCAAAAATACTACGCACAAAGGTGCATGTTTTAACAGAACTCCTTATTTTAAACTATACTTCCTTTTATTCATGTAATGTGTTCAATATAAACTCTTCAAACTAAGACTTCATATATTTTCCTAATAAGACAGTTGTTCTGTGTGATATTATATTTGAGGTTTATGACATACAATCCAATTACCTTTTTCAGTTGAGCTCCTTGTGACTTAGTGTGAACGTTTACATCATCTGCAAGGATCGGAAAAAAAGAAATTTTCCTTTGACAAAGCCTGCGATGTTGACGCGTACTCAATGGAATCGTATTATAGCCAACACAAGTTTGCATTTAGAAATAGCGTTCCTCTATTTGTCAGTTGCGTTATAGCCAATTCACATTGCCAGAACATGTGTTATTGCAGAACCCCCTGTATATACTAACGTACAAGTTAGGAGCTGGAATAGGCCACTCAGCCCCTTGAACCTGCTCCACCATTCAATGAGATCATAGCTAATGTGATTGTAACCTGAACTCTGCATTTCTATTTATCCCTGATAAACCTCACCCTTGCTGATCAAGAATTCACTTACCTCTACCTTAAGAATATTGAAAGGCTCTGCTTTCACTGCCTTTTGTGAAAGGGAATTCCAAGGAGCCACGACTGTCTGTGAAAAAGATTTTGGCTTATCTTTATCCTGAATAGATGATTCCTTGTTTTAAATAGCGCCTCCTAGTTCTAGACTCTCTTACAAAAGGAAATAGTCTCTTTGCATCCAGCATGTCAGAATGCCTCAGGAACTTTTGTGTTTTAATCAAGTCATTTCTTACTGTTCTAAATTCCAACAGATACAAGCCTGACCTGTTCAACTTTTGGGACAACCTGTCAATTACTGGTATTAGCCTAATAAATCTTCTCCAAACTGCTTCCATTAGTAATTTACATTTTTCCTTAAATTAATACTGTACACATTGCTCAAGCTGTGGTCTCATTGGTGCCATTTTAACAGAAGCACAACCAAATCATCTTTGTATAAATTCTCCCTGTAATAAACAGTAACATTCTATTAGCTTTCTTAATTAACTACTGTGCATGCATATTAGTTTTTTTATGGGTTATACAGTGTGTTAGGATGCCACGGTCAGTTTGTGCATCCTCCTTAGAGTTGCTGCTGTTAGTCCACACAGCTTGCAAGAATCTTGTTGTAATTGTAGGGGCTGAAGCTCTTCAAAAGCAACTCTTTGGGTTCCCATCCCTGTCTCACATGCAGTCTTGTGCTCCTATTCCTAGTCACATCACATCTGAATTACCTATATGAGAGTTGGAACTGACTCAAACCAATGTGTCTCAGTAATTTTCCCCCTTTCTGTGGCACAGTGTCTGCAGCTTAGAATCCAGCTCCTCAAACCGATGTGAAGTTGCTGTAGCTGCAGCTGCAAGCACTTGTTACAAATGTATTCCCTCTGGATCATATTGGTATAAAACAGCTCCCAAATGTTGTGGGAGCCATACATGAGCTGACCTGCCATCTCTGCATTTTATTTAAGTAATTAATTAATCATTCTGCTGTTTCTACTTTTTACCCTTTATTGTATATTTGTTTTGTTTTACGCTCCATCTTATATCTAACAAACTATTTTTAAGAAAAAGAAGATTTAAAAAAAGACCTAAATACAAATTCATATCTTGCTTTTTCTTTAAAAGCTAGAAATACTCACAATTCAGCTTCTTTGTTTTGGCAAAAGCAACCAAACACCCCTCTTATTTACCATTTAACTTGTTGAGACGCTTGACTCCAGCACCATATTGTAAGTTGTATTCTGTTGACTACTCCTATATATGCTCCCAATGAAAGGGCCTATCTGATTCACTTAATGAGACTTCAGTTTCAGCTGGCTCTTAATTAATCTGCTCCTTGACTGCAACCTTTAAAACAAAAACTCTGCTTAAGGCCAGCACCTACAGAATTTAAACTGTATACTTTATTCCAACCATAAACTACAATATAAATTAGGCTAAAATAGATCCGTATCATTTAAAGGCTTGGACTTCCTTATCCAGCAAATGCATGCATTTAATCCTAGCTTGAACTGAAACAAAAAGAGAAATTGCTGGAGAAACTCAGCAGGTCTGGCAGCATCTGTGGAGAGAAAGCGTCAATGTTTTGAGAGCAGTGACCCTAGCCTGAACTGAGCTTGCTAGCGAAATTTATATGCCCCAACACAAAGGGCCTAGCATGGTGACTTAAGAGCCATTTGAAACTGGATTCTCATTAAGAAGCCTTCTTCTTGCCCATTAAATGCAGACATTCAGTCTTGTACTATTCATCTGGTAACTGTAACAACTAACTTCACCCCGAAACAAAAAAAAACTCTGGCCCTCCATAATATAAGGTTTAGAGAGACACAGCCTGTATTGGTTCCATTTGTGACAAGTAATTAGATTATCATGTGGAAACAATCATGCTTTGTGTTTTCTACGTTGTAAAACATCACATTAAAGTGAGAAGTTTTCCCTTGTATATATATTTATTGACCTTGCTGTAACATATTGAAACATTTCATGATTGTTTAGAGAATGAATTTCGGTTTTAAGTGTGTAGTCCAATATGTAGGCACTAGTGGCAACCAACCTGCATCTGTAATGTTCCACAAATGACAGTGAGGTAAATAATTTATTTTAATTTGTAATGGTGGACTTTGAGAGATGAGTGGTGAACAAATGCTTAGATGGATCCATGTTAAAGTGTGGGGTATTCAGCTGTGCAGTACTTCCTCAGCACTATATTCCTGGATTATGCATTGAACTTTAGTGTACTGAAATAATCTCTCCAGTTTATATATGTGTAGTGAAACAGAACTGACTTGGGAACTTTAACTTTGTCTGGTTCACTCAACTTCAGTGACAAGTTCTTAAGACTTCACAATTGTACTTCAAAAACTATCACTTGGTATTGCTCATGTTGATGCATGATCATAACTTTTGATTCTGTGTTAAGTTCATGTGACGACTAAGTAATTTTTCTCCTGTATTGAAACTCCTTTTCAACAAGAATAGTGGGAAAACTATTAAATGTCTTTTTTAAAATAACATTGGCTAAACCCTTTGCTACAGTTACTATAAAGAAAGGAGAGATCAAAAACCAACAGCATATGTTGAAGATGGTTACAAGGAAGACTACCGGAAGAGACCTGTTTCAGCAGCAGGAAAATCTAGGTAAATGTCTGTAATTTTATATTTTCATATTCCTTCAAAAGGGTCTACAACATTTAGTACCTGAGCACAGACAAAGCAGTCCATTCTACAAACTGACATAGTGACAACTCTTTGTATCATTCTTACAACTTGCTTTCCCACCTAATTTTTTATTGCAGCAGGTTTGGCTATATTGCAGTTTCCTTAATCTAAGTTGTTGAGATTGGTTATAAATAGCTGATTCTGTGGGACTCCATTACTTGCTGTCTGTCACCCTGATAATAATTCTTACTAAGTTTTCTTTCTGTTACCCAATCCTCAATCTTTGCAACTTATTACTTTCAATCATGTGAATCTTAATTTTGTGTAATAAGTAATTGTATGGCATCTGACTCAGATTTTCAAGAATCATTCAATAAGATACATCTCCCTCTTCTATGTAACTAACCTAATTGCAGCCTGTTAACAAAGCCCAATATATTCATTAAAAAATAAAATTGCTCTTGCACAAATTCATGTTGATTCTGTCTAATTATTATGGTTTTCTAAGTGTCCTGTTATCAGGTCTCTATACTAATAGAATCCAGCATTTTGTTGATTACTGATGTCAAGCTAACTAGTCTATTTCTTTTACCTCTCTTTATCCTTTTGAATTTTCGTTTGCTACCTTCCAGTTCATGAGGTGAATTCTGGAAGACCCAAACCTAAATATCCAGTATCTCCATAGCTACCTTCCGACAAACCCAAGAAGGCATGCCATCTCGCTCAGAATACTTGTCCGGCACTCTCTTGTTTTTGCTAATACTAATTTCTTCAAGTTTTTCCCTATTTCCAGAATGTTTATTTTTACTTCTACCTTGTTTAATATCTGTGATTTCTTTATTCACCATTATAATTACCGTCTCTAACTCTAATGGGTTTACATTTACAATTGTTAATCTGTTCCTACTCACATACCAATAGAAACTTTTATCTGTTTTTGCCTTTTGTTGGTTTACTTGTCATTATTTTTCTTTCTTTATCAATTTCATGGTCGTCTTTTTGTTGAATTCTAAAATCTTGTCACTTCACAGGCTTCCCATTCTGGCTGGCATCATTAATCTCTTCCCTTAATCTAATGCCATCCTTAACTCCTCTTGTTGGACCAATTCTTTCATGGGGTGTTTATTTGTTAAGCAAACATATTTAAAGTTCTAAACTAATTCTTTAGATGTCTATATTGCTATCCACCATTATGTCTTTTAAATATAGTTTTGCAATCAGTTCTACTCAGTCCATCCCTTATACCCTTGTAATTTGCTTTGTTCAAATTTAAAAACCTGGTTTCTGACTTAACACAATCATATTGAAACATACTTAAATTCTATCAAACTTTCCCTAGAGTCCCCTTTTTTACAAGGATTTTCATTAACCTTCTCTCATTGTGCAAAAGTATAATTAAAATAGCCTGTTCCCCTGGGGTTCATAATATGATCTAGAAAATTATCTAGTACACATTCCACAAACTCACCTTCAGCGCAGTTAACTGCAATTTTGCTCAGCTTGCTTTAACCTGGTCTTACTCTATTACAATTGTCATACCCTCTCTAAATTTCTGCTTTATACTCTCCTGGACACGACTGTTTGGGTTGTGGGCGGCGGGGTTGCCAAAAACAGCTGTCATCAGTGTTCCTTATTGTTTCATGCTGATTCTACTTCCGGTTCGTTTGGTCTAATATCCTTCTTCACTGCTGCCCTTGTATGATATTATCAGAACCCTTTACTTTTCCAATCTTTTCAAAATGTCAAGTAGCTTGCATTTTAAAGGATACATCTTTCAAGCTAGTTATTGATTGCTTTCAATTGGCTGTTGTTGAGTTAGTATATAAATTCTTGAGTTCATACTATAAATTAAAATTGGTGAAGTTGACAGGATGTGCTGTGGCCCAGAGTGAGAGCCTTGGCTGTCACTTCAAGGGTTCTGTTCGGATCACTTACTCCCAGCTGTGGATCTTGAAGTCTCTATTCCCTCTACTTGCAACATGATGAGGAGAAGCAGCATAGGTAACAAAGACGTTGTCTGCTTTTTGCAGAGGGAAATGGGGGAAGAGAAGGCCTCTCAGGAAGCCAAATCTACCCAGGGTCTTCAGGGAGTAGTTTGCTCACTGCAACCTAAGCCAGGAGCAGTACATGTGTTGTGTTCTTTTACAGAGAAGGTGCTCAAGTTGCCACCTGTTATAGGCAGAACTGTATGGAAGGTTTGGCATGAGTGTGTTAAGCATCGGTGTTAGTTTCAAATTGCTGATGACACAAAGATAGATAGGAAAATGAGTTATGAGGAGGATAGAAGGAACCTACAAAGGACCACAGATAGGTTAAGTGAATGGGCAAAGATCTGGCAAATGGAGTACAATTTGGGAAAATGTAAAAAAGTCAGTTTTGGCAGGAAGAATGAAAAAGGTGAAGAATGAAAAAGGTGAGAGGATGCAGAGGGTTCTGGGTGTTCCAGTGCATGAATCACAGAATGTTAAAATACACATACAGAAAAGTAATCAGGAATGCTAACAGGACATTATTATTTTGCAAGAAGAATTGAATGCAAGAGTAGGGAGTTATGCTCTGTTTATACAGGGCATTGGTGAGACTGCATCTGGAATACTGTGTGCATTACTAGTAACTGTACCTACAGAGGAATGTTAATGCATTGGAAGCAGTTCAGAGAAGGTTTACCAAACTAATACTTGGAATGAGCACATTCCCTCATGAGGAAAAGCTAGAAAAGTTACTTGTATCCTCTGGAGTTTAGAAGAGTTGGAAGTGACTTAATTGAAACATACAAGATCCTGAGCTGATTTGACTGGGTAGGTGTTGAAAGGATGCTTCCTGTTATGGGAGAATTTAGAACTAGAGGTCATAGTTTAAAAATAAGCATTGCTCATTTCAAACTGAGATGAGGAAACCTTTTATTTCTGAGAGTTGAGCCTTTGGAAATCTCTTCTTCAAAAGGTTGGGGATGCAGAATATTCAAATATTTTTAAGGCAGAGGTAGTTCGATTCTCGATTACCAAAAGGATGAAAGATTGTTGGGGATATGCAGGAATGTAGAATTGAGGTTAAATTCCAAAGAGCTTATTGAATGACGGAACAAGCTCCAAAGGCCGAATGGCCTCTTGTCATTATGTTTGAATATAAAGAAGGCTACTGTACACTGTGCAAATAATTCATTATGTCCCTTCTTCCCAGAGAGATGCAAATGGAGCAAGTATGCAGCTTTGCCTTGTTAACAAGCTTCCCTATGATGTAGGGTACTATGGACCTTGCACATGTTGCTTTGCTGTTCCTTCACGCAAATTAAGATATACTGCAACCGCAAAGAATTCCATTTCCTCAGTGTGTGTGACCATGAGTCACTATAACACGCAGGAAAGTAACTCTTGCATCAGTCATGATGTCCTTATTTTGCGCCAGTCTGCTGGACTATCAGTATTTGAGACACCATGAGAAACTAACAAATACTGTTCAGTAACAAGGCTATCTATGAATTTGATGGGCAGTATGCACATAACAACGTCCATGCTACACATGAAATGTCATTGACCAGATCAATGCTTTTGCTGTCTAAACTGCTCTGGAAGAACTTGAGAGATTTTCACAATTTGTTGTGGTCCACTGCAACCTACAAAGGCCTGTCATCATGAGAACACAGTCCTGCTGCCAGCATCTGTGTGCAGTGAAGAAGAAGGGAGGTCATAACCTTCAAGGTCTGGCAATCTTTCTGAAGTTTCAGTGAATGCAGCTACAGCTAACTGTTCAACAATATGCACCCTATTTATCCTCTAACTGACAATCACAGCAGTCTTTTAATCACAATGCTGAAATAAAAACTATCAAAATTGAACTTCACAGACCAGCTTTATCAATCAAACTATCCAACGTTACATACGGATGTCATTTGGATCACCTTTGTGCACTGTCTTCGTGCTGCCTTTTGTGTGGCTTTGCCTAGCCTAGTGCATGTAAGGGACTACTATTGATGAAGTCATTCAGCACTGAATCAACTGCACCATCATTGCCTTTTTCAAGCTGAAATATCATGTCTTTGTTGACTTTGAAAGGCCCCTTTGGCAGTGGTCTTGATCTATAAGGCTGTTGCGTTGAACACTCTCCTCTATTGTAACAAGAACTGGACCATTCACTAATTCATATTAAGATCTTTGAGAGCTTCCCCCAGCAGTGCCTATACCGAATCCTGAGTGTCAAGTGGGAGGAACACCAGACTAATGTGAACATACTCCATGAAGCTGCATCTACCAGCATTGAAGCCCTTCTTCTGAAGGAACAATTCCCATGGATGGGCCATTTTGTCTAGATGCCCAAAAGCCCCTACCTTTGGCAGTTTCTATTCTTTCAATGCATAAAGGGTAACCAAAGAAAAAGTTATAACGATCTGCTTAAGATCAACTTGAAGTAAGGAGGCATTGACTCCACTGGGAGGTGAAAAATTCAATCCAAACCTCTTTAAGACTTAGTCACTCCACTGCAAAATGGAATGACGGCAGCAGAGGGAGGAGAAGGAAGTCAACCCTGGCCTGCAAATTCCATTACGCTACCTAACCTGCCCCTGTTGCAGAAAAAAAGTGGATCCAAAATTGGGCTCCTTAATTATCTGAAGAATCATGTAGTCTGACAGACATCATCTTTGATCTGCTCAACTGCTGATGGTGCCAAATGCTCATAAGCGATGCTAACCCAATGGCTGCAACATGACTGGTATATGTAGACAGCTTTCAGTGAGGAGGACTGCAGATAGCCGTGGAAAGTAATATGGCTTTGGCCATCAAAAGCCTGGCTCTGCTCTGAACCACTTCTGGCAATGGGTGTGGTAGCATTCTGGCTGGGTGTCAGGCAACAGCAAGGGCACAGGTTGAGTGGTAATATAGAATCCTTTCATTTGAGAAAGGATAGGAGATTCTTGCATCATTAGATGTAACCTAGGAGACACATCAAGAATCCTAATAAATTATTAAGGGATAAATACTGGATTGTTGTTATACAGATCATTAAAACTCTTGTGGTACTATGTCCAGATCCTCGGGGATATGCTGACATCATAGTCTATCCTTTGTATCTTATAGAATTTTAAGAGAAAGTGTGAGCATGTGTGTGCCCACACACGCACGTTCACCCCCTTAGCATCATTGTATCCAGAATTGTTTTTGCAGCAGAGATCTGTATGCATGTCTTTTTGGATAATAATGGACCTCGTAAAGCAGGGGTCTTGTAAAGTTCAATTTTACTTCTATACATGAACTCCATTGAAACTTTTTTCATAGTCATAAAAGACTTTTGCTGAGTCACTCCTCCTCCTTCTCTGTTGGGGTGAAAAGAGACTTAGTTTCTTCTTTTTCCCCTGATTGACACAACTTTGTAGTTCTTGTGTAATCTGCTTTGTAGTCTCTACATTGATAGAGGCTGAAAAGTTGTTTACCTTTTGTGGCTGAGTCTAGGAATAGATGGCATAATCTGAATAAGGGGGTTGCATATTTAAGACAGAGGTGAGGAGAAATTTCTTCTGAAATTAGTGAATCTGGAATTATTTACTGTAGAGGGCTGTAGAGACCATATCATTAGTATATTCAAGGCTGAAATGGGCAAATATTTAATCAGTAAGGGAATCAAGGGTTACAGGGAAAAGACTTATATTTTATGGTCTTACAGTCTTACCTCTGTATCCTTTTTGTAATATGGTAACTAAAGCAGCACATGATACTCCCCAGAGTGATTTAAACATGGTTTGTCATGAATGTGTTATAATGTATACTTTTCAATTAAACCTTATTGCTTGTTTTGTTTTTGTAATGGCCTTTATGGATCTGTGTTGCAATGTTTAGTGATTTGTGTAGTATGCTCCCAGATCTCTTTGCTGTTCTCCTGAATTTAATTCTTATTTTCCAAGTAATATGCGACAGCCTCAATTTCTTAACTGACATGAGGGAGTTGAAAACAAATTTAATGTCTCTGTATGTAATTCTATAGAGTGCTTTAAAAGCATGTTAAACCCAAAAAGATGACTAGGCTCAATACCAACATGAAGAAGCTTCTCCGAAGTGAACACCAACAATGAATACCTCATGTATATACTGGAATGTTATAATCTGCTGGAGAGATGATTGACTCCAAGAAAAGCCTCTACACAACAGAGGGCATGCCATTTCTAGAGCAAAATACTGAAGAGAAGTTCTTCAGAGAGCCGTGCTGACACTGCTCGATCATATTATGTATTTCTAAATGCTCTGTTATTACATTCTTTTATAATAAACTAACATTTACCAAAGTAACTGATGGCCTATAGTTTTTTTTTGTCTCCTTCACTTTTTAAATAAAGATGTTACATTGGCAATTTTCCAATACCCTAGGAATTTTTCAGATTCTAAGGATTCTTGGAAGACTGTTACCAGTGCTTCCACTATCTCTGTAATTACTTCCTTTAATATCCTACAATGCGTCCCATCAAGTTTAGGGGATTTATTGGCCTTTTTCCCCCATTAGTTTTCTTATGTGTCAGTGTCTTTAATTTGCCCTTCAACTTAAGAACTCTGTGCTGGAGAATCTCAGGACAGAAACACCTTCTACAGATGTGGCAATCTTATACAATCTCATTGTCCAAAAATCATTGTTGACAGTATGGCCTGCGTTGCTATTGAAAACCAGGTCACCAGCTTTTCCTTATGTGTTGTATTTTATACAAATGAAGAGTATAACTTGATTACAAAAAGATTCATATTTAATGAATCTTAATATAGATTTTTGAACTTTGCATGAAATTATTGTATGCATTGAGGTTCAGGTTTTTTGATGTTGAAGTTAAATTTTAAGTTTTATGCTTCTGTGGTAAACTCTGGAAATGTAAGTCAATAGTGGTACATTTATGAGCATTTTATATAAAGTCATTATTATCTTTGATCAGGTGCTATACAGTTATGATGTATTTATTGCTGATGTATTCTTGTGTTTTCATTCCATCAATAGATATTTGATAAACGACATACATAACTCTCAGAAACTACGCTCCAAATCTGCTTCAGTGAAAGATGATGTTGTGTTTGCAACAGGATTGTTGGTGGGTAAGTTAAAAATGTTCAAAACAAGTATTTTACTTTTGAACCATGATCTGAATATATGTTTAGCATGAACATACCAGTTCTTGGTCAATACGTTAACTTCTCCTGCTTAAGAAATACCTGAATCAAAGCAGAAGTTTCTTTTTTTTTATCGTTTCTACCTTATTTTCACTTCTTTTTGACTTTCCTAAAAATATTTATTCTTGTCAGGATATTATTTTTTGCATATGGTTAGCTCTTCCTGCAGTGGCCTCTACCAACCTTCACCCTCCCTCCCTGCCCCTTTACTTTTTGGAAAAAAAAACCTTTGGCCAGCAATTATTGGTTCTTGAAGGAGAAAAGGATAACATATGAATGTTCAGTTGGTGCCTTGACAGTCATGGTCATTACTAAACATTAGTCAAGTTGTCACTGAGATTTTTGCAGACACCGTTCATTCAGGATGTGTTGAGAATTGAGGCTTTTCAGGAGAGTAGGTGCATCAGTTTTCAGGTCTTCCAATGAATTCTCCATAGGAGTTTTCTCAGAAGGCAGCTGATGAGCTCGATACTTCTCATTCTCAGCACACTGGATACCAACTGAACTCCATACAATATCCAAAAAAAACTAGAAGCCCGACAGCAATAAACTCAGGCATGTGATTTCCAGTAAACCAAGCAATTAACTTAAGCCATGTGATTTCAGAAGTAATTTTAAAAAAAAGTCCCACATCCTTTTCATGAGCCCTTTTTATAAAAAGCCTGGATTAATTATCCAAATGGTTTGCAATTTTTTAATATGAATCCTCAAAATAAAAATTGAAGTGTCTTCATACCATTATGTACTTTTTAAAGCATTAAATAATAGTTGCCAAATCATTACCTTATTTAAATATCTGTGGCTTTCATTACTCTGTCATAATTATAGTGTGCCATGAAAACAGCGCAAAAATAATGAACAGGATTTAAGGACAATAATTATTTAGATTAGGGTGTGTAAGTGTAATTCTGTTTGCATTCTTGCTTTGCCTTTTTTGCTGATAATTTTTGTCCACATTTATACTGGAAGCTGACTGCACATTACTTGTGCGGCAGTTGAAACTTTTTGTCAAAGTTGATGGAGCAACTTGACAACTGGTAGAAGCTTTGTTTGCAATATAACAAAATCACATTGGAAATATTGAACACTGACAAGGTTTTTGGTAATGTGAACGTCATTACTTAATGAAATAAAAAGAATATATTTATTATTTCACAAAACTGGTCAAAAGGCATACTGAAATAACTCATATAGATAATCACAATAGAGTCATACAGCATAGGAGAGGCCCTTTGGCCCACAATAAGTGCAGTTTAACTTAACCTGAGATTTTAGTTGTGAATCAAAAGTTAAATATGCCAAATTAATTAACCTGTTTTGTTTAAACTTTAGCATTGCTATAGGTGGTAGAAATAGGTAATTATATTAGTATGCCTACCTTTGTTGTTAGAGGATTAAAAGTTTATTCAGGTTTGAGAGTTTTGTCATGGATCTTTAGATGACTGAACAGGCTAATTCTTGAATCATAGACTTTTGGGCACATGCAGTAGGACATTCCATAGTGAGATCTGGTGTGTTGGATTAGCTTCCTTTTCCTTACTTCTCCACAGCGCTAAGGCTCATTGTGAAGATAGTTAGACTTAAAACATAATGAAGCTTTATGGACAAGTTGTTGCCATTTGAATGATAGGTAATAAGATCCTGTATGGTGCAGAGATACAAAAATATTGCAGACATCCACAAATTCTAAATCATGCATGTCTATAGTGGTTAGTTGAGTTTTGGCACAGAGGTGACTAAAGTTAGAGTTTTCCATCTCGGCAGTATTTGATACTCTCATTAGATGGTAATTGATTTTGATGAGGTGAGTAGCCACTTTTGGATTTTAAATAGTATGGGGACTATTGAACCAAATTGAAGGAAGCTGTTTCAGGTCTTCCACTTGACAGTTACATGCATGTCATTATGAAGCAGTGCAGGATTGTGATAAAGTTTCTTGGATATCCAAATCTTTGGACCACAATTCACAGAGCTCTGTCATTTACTGAATCAAATGCTTTGGTCAGTTTGATGAATTTAACGAAGAGTTCATGGTGTTATTTTTGATGTTTTCTTAGATTTGTCTGGCTACAAAGACTGAGCCTCTGGAAGGCCTAAATGCACCTGCATCTCTGGGAACAAGTAGACAATAGAGAATGCGTGTCAGGAATTTTCTACTGTGGATAATGGGAATTATCTCAGTAGTCTCCCATGTGTGATTTATCCTGCTTCTTGCAGATTGTTACAGTTATGTCAGTGATGTCAGTGTGGGGTGATGGGATGTTTGTTTGCCTTCCAAAACTGTAGAATGAGTATCTAGAGTTGATATGAGACTCCCAGGTTCACAGTCCTGTCCCCATCATCAATTCTCCATTGCCACAGTTGTTAGCAAATGAGCTCTGGTAGAAGTTCACACATGACTTTGTTTAACATGGGGACCTTGAGATGCTATATCTGTCCACATGATTTTGATGAGTTGGTTGTCAAATTTTGGTACAGTAGCATAATCAACTGTTATAAAATCCAAGATAAATCTATTCTGTCCTGGCTGATGACATAGAGTGGTATAGAATTTCCATATGTGTTGTACAAAAATTACAAATTATATTCTGTTTCTAGGGCCCTGTAGGAATTTGTTATTGGAATTACAAAGTACATGTTAGTGACAAAATGAACCCTAAATAAGTTTGAAATTGGACCTGTACTGTTGCTTTTGATGATAATTGTTACTGTCATGTATGTGGTTTGTTGGTCCAGGGGTATAATTCTCGCTTAGGGTACTCTATAGTGATGACGTGTGAGAGGTCTCAGGTTCAACTCCTGGACTCCAGGTTCCTTGCTTCACTTAGGGCGGCACAGTGGCTCAGTGGTTAGCACTGCTGCCTCACAGCAGTGAGGGACCTGGGTTCGATTCCACCCTTGGGTGACTGTCTGTGTGGAGTTTGCACATTCTCCCTGTGTCTGCGTGGGTTTCCTCCGGGTGCTCCAGTTTCCTCCCACAGTCCAAAGATGTGCAGGCTAATTGGATTGGCCATGCTAAATTGCCCATAGTGTCCAGGGATGTGTAGATTAGGTGGGTTATAGGGGGATGGGGTCGGGGTGGGATGCTCTGAGGTTCGGCGTAGACTTGTTGGCCTTGTTTCCAGAGTGTAGGGGTTCTATAATAATTCAAGAATAATGATAAATTGGATACGTGAGAGCAAAATATTTAAAACATTTAGTTCACAAATGTTGCTGATGTTGTATGGATCTCAAGCGTGGAGTGCTATATCTTCCTTTGAATCCCAAACCATCACAACATATGTCATATATAAAACCAGTTTTGCTATAAAATGGTCAATTCTTTTCTTTCTTATTATTCGTTCAACTATTCAAATTAGAGAGTTATTTATTGATATATAATTAGTTGTTTGGATAACCTTTGCTTTCTTATTAAAATTTGGGTGACAAAAGTAGTGATACTTAAATATTAAATCACAATCTTTAGGTAACTATGAACGAGAGAGTGCCCAAAGAAGAAGGAGGGAAAAATACAGACAGGAACTATTGGAACAAATATCAGAAAAGCAGAAAAACAAGATACGGTAACTTAATGTTGAATGAAATTATTTTATCAAAGTATAATCCTTGATTGCAAGTTTGAAAGAGTTATAAGTCAAATGGCATAGAAACAAGCCCTTCAGCTTGACAATGCAAACCAGGTTTCCTAAACTAGTCCCATTAGCTGCATTTGGCCTGTGTCTCTCTGAACCTTTCCTATCCATATGTTGGTCTAAATATCTTTCACATGTTGTAATTGTGCTCACCTCTACCACTTCCTGTGGCAGCTCGTTTCATATGCTCACCACCCTCTGTGAATAAGTTGTCCCTTGGGTCTCTTTTAAATCTTTCTCCTCTCACCTTAAGCCTATGCCCTGTAGTTTTGGACACCCCACCCTAGGGAAAAGACCTTAGCTATTCACCTTTTCTATGTCCCTCATGATTTTATAAACCTCTATAAGGTCACCCCTCAGCCTCCTATGCTCCAGGGGAAAACAGTCCCAGCCTATCCAGCTTCTCCTTCTAACGCAAACCCTCCAGTCCCGGTATCATCCTTGTAAATCTCTTCTGAACCCTCTCCAATTTAGTAATATCCTTCCTATAGCAAGGCAACCAGAATTGAATGCAGTATTCCAAATGTAGCCTGACCAATATCCTATCCCAACTACTGTACTCAGTGCTGTGTCTGATGAAGGCAAGCATGACAAATGCCTTCCTCACTACCCTACTTACCTATGATGCCACTTTCAAGGAACTATGTACCTGCACTCCTAGATCTCTCTGTTCAACAGCACTCGCCAGGGCCCCCTACAATTAACTATTTAAGTCTTGCCTGGGTTTGTCTTTTCAAAATGCGACACCTCCCATTTATCTAAATTAAACTCCATCTGCCATTCCTCAGCTCACTGGCCCAAATGATCAAGATCCCTTTGTAATCTTAGATAACCTTCTCCACTGTCCAATTTTGGTGTCATCCACAAACTTGCTAACTATGCCTCCTATATTCTCTCCAAATTGTTTATATAAATGACAAAGAACAGTGGACCCAGCAACGATCCTTGCGGCATACTGCTGGTTACAGACCTCCAGTCTGAACAACAACCTTTTACCACCAGCCTCTGTATCCAATGTCAAGCCAATTTTACATCTAATTAGATAGCTATCCCTGGATCTCATGTATTCTAACCTTACTAACCAGTCTACCATGCAGAACCTTGTCAAAGGTCTTGCTAACGTCCATTTAGGCAGTATCTACCACTCTGCCTTCATCTATCTTCTTGATCACTTCTTCCCACGCACAAAGCCATGTTGACTGATTTTAATCAATCCTTACCTTTACATAAGCATGTAGATTTTGTCTCTCAGAATCCCCTCCAACATATTCTACTGATGTCAAGCTCACCAGTCTGTAGTTCCCTGGCTTTTCCTTGCAGCCTTTCTTAAATAATGGCACAATGTTAGCCACCCTCCAGTTTTTCAGCACCTCACCCATGGCTGTCAGTGATACAAATATCTCTGCTAGGAGCCCTGTCAATTTCTTCCCAGCTTCCACAATGTCCTGGGATATACTTGATCAGATCCCGGGGATTTATTTACCATTAGGCGGTAGCAGCTCCTCCTCTTCTGTAATGTGGACTCTTTTCAAGGCATCAGTATTATTTCTCAGAGTCCCCAGCTTCCATGTCTTTCTTCCGGGTAAATATTGATGTGAAGTATTCGTATAGGATATCATCCATCTCCTGTGGTTCCATATGTAGATGGCCTCGGCCTTGTTGATAATTAAGGGACCCTATTCTCTTCCTTGTTATTCTTTTTCCCTTAATATACTTGTAGAATCTATTTGGATTCTCCATTACCTTATCTGCCAAAGCTATCTGATGATCCCTGTTTCCCTTCTGATTTCCTTTTTCCGTACACTCCCTATACTTCTCATGGGAGTCGCTTGATTCCAGTTGTGTATATCTGCCTCTTTTTCTTGACCAGACCCTCAATATCACTAGTCATCCTTTGTTCTGTACTCCTGTTTTGTCCTTCACACTAACAAGAACATGCTGACCCTGAACTCTCATTATCTGACTTTTGAAAACTTCGCACTTGCCAGACGTCCTTTTACCTGCAAACAGCCTCCCCAATCAACTTTTTGAAAATTCTTGTCTGATACCATCAAATTGACCTTGCCCCAATTTAGAACTTTAACTTGTCGACCAGGCCTATCAGTTTCCATTACTACTTTAAATCTAATAGAATTATGATCACTGGTCACATAGTGCTCCCCCACCGATGCCTCAGTTACTTGCCCTGCATTATTTCCCAAGAGGAGGTTGAGTTTTGCCACTTCTCTAATAGGCCATCTAAGTATTGGTTGAGAGTTGTCTTGAATACATTTAACAAATGTTAAGTGACTCCATGACTAAATGACTCCATGGCAGTCCCAGTCTGTTTGGAAAGTTAAAATCCCCTAGTATTACAACCCTATTATCTGCGATCTCCCCATATATTTGCTTCTCAATTTCCCATTAGCTATTACGGGATCTATAGTACAATCCCATAAAAGTGATCACTCCCTTTTTATTTCTCAGTTCCATACAGCTTCAGTGGATGAACCCCAGGAATATTCTCTCTAAGTACTGCCGTGAAGTTTTCCCTAATCAGAAATGTTACTCTCCTCTCTTGTCTTCCCTTCTATCCTTCCAATAGCATCTGTATCCTGGAACATTGCGCTGCCCATTCTGTCCCTCCTTCAGCCATGTTTCTATGCGAGCTATGATATCCCAGTCCCATGTTCCCAGCCATGCCCTGAGTTCATCTGCCTTACCTGTCAGGCCTCTTGCATTGAAGTAAATGCAGTTTCATTTGTCAGTCTTCCCTCGTTTTCTGCTATGCTGTTGACTGTCTTGTCTATTTAACTTGCTCTGTTTAACTTTGTACCGACCTCAACCTTTTCTCTTGCCTCACTACTGTTTAGGGTTCCACACCCCTGCCAGACTTGTTTAAGCCCTCCCAAGGAGCTCTAGCAAATCTTCCCTCAGATGCAACCTCATGTACAGGTCACATTTGCCCCGGAAGAGATTCCAATGAACCAAAAATCTAAATCCCTTCCCCCTGCACCAGCTCTTCATCCATACATTCATCTGTCCTATCCTCCTATTCTTACTGTCACTAGCACGTATCATTGGGAGTAATCCAGAGATTACTACCTTTTGTGGTCCTGCTTTTTAACCTCTTGCCTAACACCGTATATTCACTCTGCAGGATCTCATCCCTTTTTCTACCTATGCCGTTGATGGCATTGTATACAGCGATCTCTGCTGCTCGTACTCCCTTTTGAGAATTTGCAGCAACTGGCCTGAGACATCCTTGACCCTGGCATCAGGGAGGCAACACACACCATACTGAAGCCACGCTCTTGGCCACAGAAACACCCGTCTGTGCCCCTGACTAAAGAGTCCCCTATCACAATTGCTTGCTTGGACTTTGCCGTGCCCTGCCAGTCATGGTGCCAAAGACCTGGCTGCTACTGTTATTTTCCCTAGAGTGGCTATCCCCACAACAATATCCAAACTGGTATACTTGTTTGAGAGGGGTTAACCACAGGAGACTCCTGCCCTACCTGGCCACCTCTCCTGGCTGTCATCTATCTACTTGATGTACCTGTTGTGTGACCACCTTCGTTGAAGCTACTGTCTACACACTCTCTGCCTCTTGCGTGCTCCTCAGTGCTTCTGAATGCCACTGTAACCAATTCATGCGGTCTGAGAGATGTTGCAGTTGGACACACTTCCCCCAGACATTGTCACCTGGGACAGTAGACTGTTCTCTGAGCTTCCATATTTGACAGGAGGGACATACCACTCCACTGACTGCCATCCCTGCTTCTTTAACAACTGGTGGACTTTGTTGGTGAGGGTTGGTGGTGGGTGAAGAAAGGTGTTGCCCATACCTTTATGCTGCTCGCTCTCTTCAACAAAGCCTTCTATTCACCTAGACCTGGTCTTAGATCTGATCAGCAGCACCTCAACCACAAATCAGCCCCTTGTAAAAATGGCTGGAACATACCTCCCACCCCCACTTGTCTAACCTCCCACAAATAGTGCAACACCCAGCGATTGCACACTCTTGCTAGTTGCGCTCCGTGCCTGGAGCATTATCGGTCTATCTTTTATTGTATAAAACCTGCAAGGACCAGGTCTTAACCAGTATACTTAACTTGCTTAGTTAGATTAAGTAACTTCAGAACTAAGAATGCTTGTTTAAACTTCCTTTGGCCTAAAAGAAAAAAAAATACAACCCTTAAATGTCTATCCTTCCCTTCCCCAAAGATTTAGATTTTATGAAAGCAAAAGATTAAGATTGATATTCTAAAACTCCCTAACTTTGCTCAAATCCCAATGATTGCACACTCTTGCTGGTCGCACTATTATAGTATTAGCACCTGAAGGTTGTTATTGTTTGAACTAAAATTGTAAGAGATTACTTCCAAGTTGGTTACCTGAAAACGTGATTTGTCTGAAAACTAGATAGTTTGTGCACCAATTTTAATTAGTATAATACTTGCTTGGAAAATTCTTTTAGGTCCTGTACTGGCATGGTGACCACTTACTGACTTTGCTTGCCATTACATCTCTTGTTCCTGATACTACTCGATCCAGCTTGACCTGAATTACCCATGTTTCAAACTTCCAACTTGAAATTTGGAATATGAAATTCATAAGACATGGCTGTTGCTGGCTGGGCTAGCATTTACTGCCCATCCCTGGTTGCTCTTGAGGTAATGGTGAGCTACCTCCTGGAATCGCTGAAGTCATTTGGTGTAGGGAGTAAGTTCCAGGATTTTGACCATTGACACTGAAGAAATGGCAATGTAGTTCCAAGTCAGGATGGTGAGTGGTTTGGAGGAGAACTTGCCCATTATTCTCTATGACATCGCTCAGTGCTGTGTGGAATGGAACCATACTTGCCCACTTAAGTTTGCTATTTAGGAAGCTTTATGATTGAAGTCACCATAGTAGTGCAGTGTTGGAATTAGGCTGAATATCTGTGGAGAGTGATGAAAATTTATTGAGGGTTCCCATTTTGTGTGTGTGTGTGTGTGTGTGTGTGTGTGTGTACAACATTTGATGAGAATCAAGTTAAATTTCAATATAATAAAAACAAAATACTGCAAATGCTGGAAATCTAAAGCTACCACAGAATTTGGGAGAAACTAATTAGGTCTGGCAGCATTAGTGAACAGAGAAACAGACAGAACATTTCAAGTCCAAAATGATTCTCTTTCAGAACTTTGGTTTTTTTAAAAATTCCTTTACGTTGTGTAAAGTAATCCACCAATCTCAGTGTCTGGCTTGGATACTGCTGATCGTACACACCAGTATGAGATGATTTTACTGGAGAGGGGCAGATGTACAAAATTGAAAGAGAAAAATACATTGATTTAAATGGTTCCTTTCTGCCACAGGGAAAAAGAGCTTGAGCTCAGAGTTGCTGCTTCAGGAGCTGTAGACCCAGAGAAAGAAGTAAGAACTTACTTTTTTTGTATACATTATGATATAGAACTTTCATCCTTCTGCACCTTCGGTATGGATATCTTTTATTTTGCTAGTCCTTGGGGTTTAGCTGTACATGGGGAACTGTTTGTCACTGGTAGTGGAAACCAAAAATAATTTTGTGTGATTAGAGACGTTCCTTTAATCTTATTATCTTTCAGACAGGAGAGAAAATGGGAATTTATTCTGTCTAAGGTTGCAAATCCTATTTGTTTCACCTGATTTTGAAATCACCTCTCACGTGATGTTATTTTAACACTTTGAGACCAGGCATTATTTGGTAAATTGATGCTGCACTCCTCCAAGGCCAGTGTAGCCTTCTTAAAATTCTTTTTCAGGTGAGGTCTAACCAAGGCGTTGTATATCTGTTGAGTAATATATACCTCTTTCTACTTTAGTCCTTTAAACATTAAAAAAAGTGTTCATTAGCCTCTTATTTTCTGTACCTGTTCATTACATTTTAATGATTCATGTATCTGGACTTCCATTACTTTTGAGCTCTACTGTTCTAGCTTTGTGTCACTTAGAGTGTATTTTGTTCATGCCTAATTGTTGTTGCTCACCTCAAAGATTTTTTAAGAGGAGTTGATTCATTTCTCCTCAACTGGCCATGACATTTACGTTCCCTCAACCCCACTCTGAAGTCCCTTCCAGTTCCTCAACTGCATTCCACACCCTATGTTTTTAATTTCCTTTACCCATATACCTACTCCCAAACACACACTTTTTCTGACTAGGGTCTTATTCCTTTCATACCATCATTAACGATAGAGCATTCAGTTATTTTGATCCTTCTCTTTGGACATCCCTTCCAGAATCTCCATTTTTAGACACTTAGAAGATTGATTTCATTGACCAAACTTTTTGTAACTTAGCAAAATTCTTACTTTATATTTGGCATTTAGCATTTGTTTTACTTTATTTCCATTCTCAAACTAAGGTATAATATTTCCCTTAATAAAGACACTCTGTAAATGCCTTTTGGTTGTTGCTGTTAATGATGACAATGAAATTTCATTACCAGATTGATAAGTTTTGATTCAAATTTACAGCCAAATCGAATAAGGGAGTTTGGTGCAGTGACACTACAACATGATACTCACAGGCATGATACCTCTAACAAAGAAAGTGAAGTCCCTGTTGCAAAATATTCAAATGAAGAAAGATCTTCCGTGGATGAGAGACGGCCTCCAGAACACCCCAGGGTAGCTTTCCAAAATCCTCCAATTGAAGACAGGGGTCCTAATAGTGGTCTAAGCAGTGGAATATGGAATCCATATAGGAATATAACGGTTCCTAGGTAAAAGCTATGTGTCTTTTAAATTTCAGCTATGCTTGTAGTGTGCAATGTGTTAAAGAAAATAAAAAAGAAATCGTTGATTTGTGGTCCAGGTAAGGCTGTACCCTGATGCAATTGATTTTATGTATTCAAAATTCAATATGGCAATTGGTTATGAATCTAGTAATTTTAGGTAGCACAAAAGAAACCTATGAAAACTGTCATTGTGTTAAAAATCCATTTGCTTCACTAATTACCTTTCTGGAATGATCTGTTTGATTTTAGGCTCCAGTTCCACTGTATCTAGTTTGTTCTTGATGCTCTATAAAGACTCTTGATGGCCTAGCAGGTTACTTTGTAGTAAAACAATTGCTACAAACCTCAGCAATTAGAAATTGGCAAAAAAATTTAGAGGTGAATGCATATTGGTATTGTTGCTGACTAGTAATCCATCGACCAAAGTAATTTTCTGGGACCTGGGTTCAAATCAAACTACAACAGATGGTGAAATTTGGACTCAATAAAAAAAAACTTTAATTGAAAACCTAAGACTGTGAGACATTTGTTAATAGTTGTAAAATGCAATCTGGCTCACTAATGTCTGTCTAAAGCTGCTGTCCATACCTGGTTTGGTTTATACTTGACTCTGGACGAATAGTTCGGTGGTTCAGTTGTTTCAGCGGCGGGAGTCCGGGAGAAAGCGCGAGGGCAGCCTGGGAAGGTAAGCTTACACCCAATAAATTTGGGAGTTAACTAATACCCGAGACACTACACGCGTAGTGTCTCCCACCCTTCCACCTCCTCTAACCTAATAATAACGACTAAGTGTGGTGAGCAGGTAAGCTATTTGCATTTCTTTTCCTCATCTCTTTGTTATCTTTCGGGGTGGTCACCTAGACACCAAATCCTCTGGGAGCGGGTCGGAATGCAAAGCCGGAGTATATAACGGAGTAAACTTACTGGTGCAGTGAACACTGTGAAACTAACATAAAACTAATTAATTTTAAATAATTAACTAAGTAGAGATGGCAGGCCAGGTGATGTGTTGTATCTGTATGATGTGGGAGCTAGCTGATCCCATTGAGAATGGCAGTGACCACATCTGCAGCAAGTGTTGGCTGCTTGAGGAGCTCTGGCTCAAAATTGATGAGCTGGAATCCGAACTCCAAACACTGTGGCACATCCGGGAGGGGGAGAAATACCTGGATGCTGTGTTCCAGGAGGCAGTCGCACCTGGTAGATTAACTAATGTTAATTCGATCAGCGGGCAGGGACAGCAGTGTGTGACTGCGAATGAGGCAGGTAGAGGGACCCTGCAGACAGGAACACAGGAGCCGCAGCCCTTGACATTGTCCCACTGGTCTGAGGCACTTGTTCCCTGCGTGGATGAGGAACAGGACTGCAGGAAGGATGAGTCAACTGACCGTGGCACCATGGTCCAGGAGGCCATTCAAGAGTGGGGAGCAAATTATTTACCAAAATTCACTGGACTCTGGGGTGGTTCCCGCAGATTGGAAAACAGCCAATGTGACGCCACTGTTTAAAAAAGGAAGTAGACAAAAAGCAGGTAACTATAGGCCAGTTAGCTTAACTTCGGTAGTGGGGAAAATGCTTGAATCTATCATTAAGGAAGAAATAGCAAGATATCTGGATATAAATTGTCCCATTGGGAACACCCAGCATGGGTTCATGAAGGGTAGGTCATGTTTAACTAATTTGGTGGAATTCTTTGAAGACATTACTTGCATGGTGGATAATGGGGACCCTGTGGATGTGGTGTATGTGGATTTCCAGAAGGCATTTGACAAGGTGACACACCAAAGGCTGCTACATAAGATAAAGTTGCACGGTATTACGGTAATGTATTGGCGTGGATAGAGGATTGGTTGACCAGTAGAAAGCAAAGAGTAGGGGTAAATGGGTGTTTTTCTGATTGGCGGTCAGTGGCTAGTGGTGTACCTCAGGGATCAGTGTTGGGACTGCAATTGATTACAATTTACGTAGATGATTTGGAGTTGGGGACTAAGTGTGGTGTGTCAAAATTTGCAGATGACACTAAGGTGAGTGGTAGAGCAAAGTGTGCAGAAGACACTGAAAGACTGCAGAGGGATATAGATAGTCTAAGTGAGTGGGCAAAGGTCTGGCAGATGGAGTACAATGTTGATAAGTGTGAGGTCATCCATTTTGGTAGGAATGACAGCAAAATGGACTATGTTTTAAATGGTAAACAATTGCAGCACGCTGCTATGCAGAGGGACTTGGGTGTCCTTGTGCATGAATCGCTGAAGGTGGGATTGCAGGTGCAGCAGGTAATTAAAAAGGCAAATGGAATTTTGTCTGCCATTGCTCGAGGGATGGAGTTTAAAAACAGGGAGGCTATGCTGCAGCTGTATAGAGTCCTGGTGAGGCCACACCTGGAGTACTGTATGCAGTTTTGGTCTCCTTACTTGAGAAGAGATATACTAGCACTGGAGAAGGTGCAGAGGAGATTCACTCGGTTGATTCCAGAGTTGAGAGGGTTGGATTATGAGGAGAGACTGAGGAGACTGGGATTATACTCATTGGAATTCAGAAGAATGAGGGGAGATCTTATAGAAACATATAAGATTATGAAGGGAATAGATAAAGTGGAGGCAGGGAGGTTGTTTCTGCTAGCAGGTGAAACTAGGACTAGAGGGCATCGCCTCAAAATAAAGGGAAGCAGATGTAGGACTGAGGTCAGGAGGAACTTCTTCACCCAAAGGGTTGTGAATCTGTGGAATTCCCTGCCCAGTGAAGCGGTTAAAGCTACCTCACTGAATGTTTTTAAGGCAAGGCTAGATAAATTTTTGAACAGTAAAGGAATTAAGGGTTATGGTGAGTGGGCAGGTAAGTGGAGCTGAGTCTCAAAAAGATCAGCCATGATCTTATTAAATGGCGGGGCAGGCTCGAGGGGCCAGATGGCCTACTCCTGCTCCTAGTTCTTATGTTCTTGTGATTATTAACTGCCGTTTGAAGTGGTCCATGCAATTGCATTAGCTACTAAAATGCCTGAACGAAAAGGACAAAACTAGACAAACCATCTGGTGTCAACTAATGTATCAGAAACAACAACAGCAAACTCAGGCCAGCTGATCCTGCAAAATACTCCTTAGCAACCTGTGGGGGCTTATGCCATAATTGGGAGCTGTCTCACAGATTAGTCTGGCAAACTCCCCTTAATTCCCCACTGAGGTTGCAGATTTGCTCGTCGAGCTGGTGTGTCTGATTGCGGATGTTTTGTCACCTTGCTAAGTAACATTGTCCGTGCACTTCGGTGAAGTGTTGGTGATCTGTCCTGCTTGTTATTTATATATGCCTCAGTTTGCTGGGGTGGTTGGTATTACCTCTGGTTTTGTACTTCAGTGGTTTGTATATCAGGTCCAGTTCAGTGCGTTTGTTAATGGAGTTCTGGTTGGAATGTCAGGCCTCCAGGAATTCCCTGGCCTGTCTCTGTTTGGCTTGTGCTATTATGGATGTATTGTCCCAGTAGAATTCGTGTCCTCCTTTGTCCGTGTGTATTGAAACCAGTGAGAATTGGTCATGTCTGTTGGTGATTAATTGGTGTTCATGTATCCTTATTGCCACTTTTCTTCCAGTTTGGCCTATGTAATGTTTCTCACAGTCCTTGCATGGTATTTTGTACATTACGTTAGTTTTATTGGCTGTGGGTATGGGGTCCTTTACGTTTGTCAGTAGCTGTCGCAGGGTGGTTGTTGGTTTGTGGGCTACCCTAATACCTAGAGGTCTGAGTAGTCTTGTGGTCATCTCTGAAATGCCCCTGATGTACGGTAGGGTGAATAGTGTATCTAGAATTCAACTGGGACAACACATTCATAATAGCACAAGCCAGTGAGACATGCCAGGGAATTCCTGGAGGCCTGGCATTCCAACCAGAACTCTGTTAACAAACACATTGAACTGGATCCAATATACAAACCACTGAAGAACAAAACCGGAAGTAATACCAACAGCCCCAGCAAACTGAGGCATATAAATAACAAGTGGGATGGAACACCAACGCTTCACCGGAGGCGCACTGACGATATTACTTAGCGGGGTGATAAAACGTCTGCAGTCAAACACACTGGCTCAGCGAGCCAGTCTGCAACCTCATCCCCAACCCAGGCTACAAATCTTTTCAAAAAAAAATTTAACTCCCCACTATTTTTAAAATGTATCCAAATCCTTTTTAAATGCTTTCAGTGATCTAACCTTCACCACTTTCTGGGATAGAGAATTTCAGACATTTGCAATCATCCAGGAGAAGAAATTCCATTACACCTCAGTTTTCAATGAGTGACCCCTTATACTCTAATTATGTCCCCTAGCATGAGATTCCCCAACTGGGAAATAACTCAGTTTGGAATTCCCTCATAGTGGAAACATCTTCTCAATATCCATCTGTCAAGCCCCATTAGAATCTTGTCTCATTCAAAAGATCACTCCTCATTCTTCTCAGCTGTAATAAATAAAGATCTAAACTGTTTAGCCATTTTTGAAGAGTCAAACACTCCATCCCAGGAATCTGCCTTATGAGTCTCTTTTGAACAGCCTACAATGCTAGCATATCCTTTCTTTAGTACAGGGATCAAGATCTTGATGGTTGTGAAAAAAAGAAAAATTCCCTGTTTTTAAACCCCAACCTGCTGGCAGTAAAGATCAAAATTCCATTTGCTGCCTTAATTGCTGAACCTGTATGATGTTTTCAGTTCTATGCACAAAAACACCCAGATCACTGCTTGCTGCAACTTTTTGGAGTCTCTCTATCCTTTTAAATAATAGTCTGCCTGTTAATCCTTTCCACCAAAGTACACAACTTCACATGTTCCTACATTAAACTCCATTACTCTATCTGCCAAGTTTTTTTGCCCATTCATTAAACCTGTCTATATCCCCTTGTAGATTTGTTACGTTCTCGTCACAACATACCCTCCCATCTGTTTTGTTATCAAATTTGGAAATGTTACTTTCGAACCCTCCTCCCATGTCACTATTACAGA